CTGATATCTCCAGATGGCACCACAGGTAGCCTAAGAGGATGTGGGTGAAATATAGTTGTATTCAGCCTTAGTCAGTGAAGGAGACAGGGAAGAATTTGTTGGAACTGAGGGCCAGAAGCCAAGCCTGAGACATTCACAGCAAGTTTTACCTTTATACTTTAAGGACACAGCCTCTAGACTCAGAGCAAACTTCTAAGGCCAGCCGTGTGGCATTGAACAGATTACTTAAACTCTGTTTGGCTCAGTTTCCATAACCATGAAACAGAAATAATAATAGGACCTGCCTCAGGACTGTTGTAAGAATTAGATGAGATAATGTTTATAAAACAATGTCTGGCACATAGCAAACAATCATCAAGTAATAGCCTTTGTTATCAATTTATTATTTTAACGGCTATGAAAAACTAGAGAATTAATTTTAACCCCTTAATCACTATATTGTAACACAGATGCATTCATTTATTTGAGAAATATTTATGAAGCATCTACTATGTGCCAGGCATGTTTTTTGGTACTACCAGGGAGAAATTAATATCTATGGTTTTAAGACCTTAACCTGATGTTAAGATCTCAAGGGATCTATGAATCAGATGGGAGAAAAATAAATCCTTATTTTAACTAAACTAACTAAAATTTAGTGTTTCCCTCAGTTATGAATGTAGACAACAAACTACAACAGGATCGACAGTACATGTGACTTTGTTACCAGCAGAAATAAATATTTTCATATCATATTTCAGTTATTGCCAATAGCTACTATATTTGCTGGAAATAACATTACATCAATTTATGCCATTGGTAAAGAAATTTTAAGTACTGGAATTTTATGTGTTAATGAAGAAGAATATATATCAATATAAAAATCATTATGAGCATGCTTTACGTTCTTGACTATGGTCAGCTCAGGGTCAGTTTCCCTTGGATGCTTTTTTCCCTTGAGTATCAGGACAATTCTTGTTTCTTTTAGTAATCTAGAATTATATCCTGGACACTGTCCATGATGAGTTCTAATAGCTTTGGCTTTTTGGTGTCTGTTATATTTCTCCAGATATGAGTTTGTTGTTGTCGTGGTGGTGGTGGCGGTTTGTTGTCTTAGTAGGCAGTTAACCTAGCTAAACTCACACTAAGTCTCCCCAGTGTTGGGTACCCACTGCAAGCTCCAGACTCCGTTTCCACGGTATTGAGCATCAGCTGAAACCTCTGCTCAGTTCTTTTCTTGGACTCTGCCCCATACATGCATAGCTCTGGGGTCAACCAGAGATTTAGGCAGAGTGTACAGGCCAAACACAGGGCTCCTCCACACGGTGCTTCTCTGCTCCCAGGTGTTGCCCCTCCTGCTTTCCCTCTGCCATGGCCACCCCAAAGTCTGCTCTCTGGGTCTCTGAGTTTTGGTCACCCAGCATGGCGTCCTCTATGGCCCATGCTCACATGCAGACAAGCAAGAAACTTGCCTTTGCAGAGAGGAACAAGGTTACAAACCTCACTGCAGTGCTGAGTGGTTGGGGCTCCGCTGTGGCTTCCCCCAATGACTGGGAAGACATTGCAGGACTCGGGATCCTGCCATGAGAACCACAGCTACCAGTGCTTCTCAGGGAATGGGCGACACAGCCCCTGCCACCAGCAGCCCAGCCTGACTGAAATCTGTGGGGACTCTGCTTCTTCCCACTTCGGACCTCAGACTCAATGGGTAGTGGGTGCATGTGATTGGTGGAGCCTGAGTTAGGTATCCATGCTGTAGCTACAAGGGAACCTGGGGGAGTGAATATTAACCATCTTTGGGATCTATAGTGGGAGGCAAATTATACTTCACGGAATGGGGCAATATCCCAAAGAATGGTTAATATAAAAATAATTGTCATTGTCTACTTTGTATGGTATTAAATGGACAGAAGAAAGAAGAGAGAAAAACACGGATTAAGAAACAAATAAAATACACAAATTACCAGTATCAGGAATCAGAGTGGTGTTATTACTGCAGATAATGATAGAACATCATGTACAACTTTATATTAATAAATTTGGCAACTTACATGAAATGGGAAATTTTCTTGAAAGATACAAATAGCAAAGCTCAGTCAAAAATAAATAAATACAGGCATACCTTGGATATAGTACGCCTTCTGTTCCAGACCAAGGCAATAAAACAAATAGCCCAATAAGCCAGTTACCCACATTTTTTGGTTTCCCAGTGCATATAAAAGCTATAGTGTATTAAATGTACAATAGTATTATGTCTGAAAAAACATTGTACACATCTTAATTTTAAAATATTTTATTGCTAAAAATGCTAATAATCATCCCGCGTTTAGTGTGTGGTGAGGGCCTTCTTACCATGTCCTCATAAGATGGAAGGCAGACATAAAACAGCAAGCTAACCAGATACTGTATGAAGACTCTTTTATAAGGGCCTTAATTCCATCCTGAGGGAGTAGCCCTCTGGCCTAATCACCTTCTCATAGATCTGGGTCTCTCTCTCTTCTTCCTTCTGTCCATTTAATACTATATAAAGCAGACAATGACAATGTCTCACCTCCTAATAATATCACATTGGCAACACCTGAATTTTGGAAGGGATACATTCAAACCATACCATCCAGTCTCAGGTATTTTGTCATGGGAGTGCAAATGGATTAAGACAATTTCCAAATAATTTTGCTCAGTGAAAGGAACCAAACACAAAAGAACACTTATTGTAACATATTATTGTATAAAACTCTAGAAAATACAAACTACCCTATAGTGACAGGAAGCAGATCATTGGTTGCCTGGGGACAGGAGAGGAGAAGAGAAAGGGATAGTCATGGACATGAGGAAACTTTGAAGATGATGGAAATCCTTATTGCCTTGATTGTTGTGATGGTTTCATAGGGGTATGTGTGTGTGTGTGTGTGTGTGTGTGTGTGTAAGCTTATCAAGTTGTTTAGCTCAAACATGACAAATTCACAGTTTATTGTCTGTCAAATATACCTCAGTGTAAACACAACCTACAGAATGGGAGAAAATAATCTGACAAAGGTCTAATATCCAGAATATAACATCATTAAAAATGGGCAAAAGACATGAACAGACACTTCTCAAAAGAAGACATACAAGTGGCTAAGGAACATATGAAAAAATGCTCTTATCAGTAATCATCAGAGAAATGCAAATCAAAACCATAATGGGATACTATCTCACCCCAGTGAGAATGGCCATGATTTAAAAGTCAAAAAATAATAAATGCTGGAGAGGCTGTGGAGAAAAGGGAATGCTTATACACTGCTGAAGAGAATGTAAATTATTTCAGCCACTGTGGAAAGCAGTTTGGAGATTTCTCAAAGAACTTAAAATAAAGCTACTATTTGACCCAGCAATCCCAGTACTGGGTATATACCCAAAGGAAAATAAATCATTCTACCACCAAGACACATGCACCTGTAGGGTCATCACAGCACTATTCGCAATAGCAAATACATGGAATCAACCTAGGTGTTCATCAGTGGTGGATTGGCTAAAGAAAATGTGGTACATATTCACCATAGAATACTATACAGCCTTGAAAAAGAATGAAATCACGTCCTTTGCAGCAGCATGGATGCAGCTGGAGGCTGTTATCCTGAGTGAATTAGTGCAGGAACATAAAACCAAATGTCACACGTTCTCACTTATAAGTGAGAGCTAAACATTGGGTACCCGTGGACATAAAGATGGAAACAACAGGTACTGGGGACTACAAGAGGGGGCAGGGGTTGAAAAACTAACTATTGGGTACTGTGTTCAGCACTTGGATGACAGGATAATTTGTACCCTAAACCTGAACATCACACACTATACCCAGGCAACAAACCTGCACATGTACCCCCTAAATCTAAAATAAAAGTTGAAAAAATAAAATTTATTAGGTACTAAATGTGTATATATAAATATATATGTATATATATATATATACACACACACACATATACACACATTGCACGTAATGGAATTAAGGCCCTTATAAAAGACTTCACGCAGCATCTGGCTAGCTGGTTTCTCTCTCTCTCTCCATATATATATACACACACACGGATATTTATATTGCACATAACATTGGGCAAACTACTTCAACACTTTACAAAGAAAGACATAGAAATGGCCAGTGAGCACATAAAAACGTACTCAACATGATTAGTCATCAGAAAGATTATAATTGAAATAACAATGAGATACCACTTCCCACCCTCTCAAATGGCTAAAAATAAAGGCATCAACCTCAAATGTTGTTGAGGATAGGAAAGAAAAGGAACTCTCATACATTTCTGGTGGGAATGTAAATTGCACAACCACTTTGGAATACATTCTGGCAGTTTCTTATGAAACATAAAACTATCCTATGATGTGGCAATTCACCTCTTAGGTATTTGCCCAAGAAAAATGAAAGCATATTTCCATACAAAGATGTGTACATGAATATTCATAGTGGCTTTATTTATAATCATCCAAACTGGAGACAGCTCAGATCATAACCTGGTGAATGAATAAACCAACTCTCATGTATCCATACAACAGCATACTACTCAGCGACAGCACATTCAACAACATAGATAAATCTTAAAAACGTCACGTTGAATGAAAGAATCCAGACACACAAGAGTACATACAATCTGATTCCATTCATACAGAATAGTGGCTTTCCTGGTCTTCGCCCTCAGTTCCCGACCCTCCACTCCCCCCACCACCATTTTGAAGACGCCCAAGAGGGAGAGGACCCTTCCATTCCTTCGTTCCCTCCTTCGTCTGCTGGTCGATTTTTTCATTCATTCATCTGCACGCTCATTCCACTCCTCCCCACCTCCACCCAAGCGTCTAGCCCGCCCGCGCGGCTCCCCGGCAGACGGATCAGACTCGCCCGCCCAGTTTGCCCCGCCCTGACCCCGCCCCTTTCCCTCCCCGCCCCCTTTCTGGGCCAATCGGGGCCGAAACTGGGTCTGGGGCGGGGCCTCGCTTCCTCAGATCCCCCGGCTGCGCTCGCGGCTCCGGAAACGCGCTGCGGGGCTGTTAGGCTCTGCCGGGCACCGGCTTCTCCGTGGCGCTTCCTGCCACGCCAGGCCTGCCTGGGCTTTCCCAGCGCCGCTCTGCCGAGTGTTGCGCGACGGCCGCCGCCAGGCGTGGGTGAGTGTGCGGGCCACGGGAGTATGTGCGGGGAGCGCGGGACTGGGCTCAGGGCCCTGGTGATCGTGAGGGCTGCAGGAGGACGTGCGGGCCTGAATGAGCTTGCGGGGCCGCGAGAGGATGTGCAGGGCGCGCAGGACCGTGTGCCGGGCTGGAGCGAGTGTGCGGGCCGCGGAAGAGTGCACGGTGGAGGGAGGGGACGTCTCTGGGCGGTTGGAGAGCTGCTTGGCCTTGGGCCGGCCAGAGCTGGGAACGGGTCCCGGATGACTGGTACGAAGAGGCCCGAAGGCCTTCCCGAGGCGGGCGGGGGGCGGCGGTCCCGCGTGGGAATAGCGAAAGTGCGGAGGCCTGCTCTGCTCTTTGGGGGACGCTAGGGGTTGGGAACCGCTCAGGGGCGGAGAGAGAGGACCCCCGCCCCTAGCACCTAGAAGCCCCGTTGGGAGGGGGCGTTGTAGTGGGGAGCTTAAAGGACTTTTCACTGGTCTGGGGGAGGTGCTGAGCCGCAGTCTGGGTGCTGGGTGGGAACAGTTCCCACTAGGGAGTCCCTCCTTTCCTTTTGAGGGGGCGGGATGATGTTAAGCCTCAGCTTGGTGGGGAGGATGGGGGCAGATACGTAGCCTAGAGAGAGAGCTGAGGGGAAGGAGGAGAGAGGAGGCGGTGAGCCGAGCTCAAGGCCCTCTGTCTGAACCAGTCTTTTTCTTTTGCCCTACTGGGGGCCGCCATCTCCCGCTCCAGTGCCTCCGCCCTCTTAAACTCCTTTGCTGGCTCCACCAGTCTATATTTGGGTGATTAATTACATGTCTTTTCCACACACACACCCCACTCGTCTGCTGCCCAAAGCCCATGGTCCCTTTCAAACAACCCCACCAATTCCTGGCCCTCTTCCCAGAGGTCCCACCCTGCCACCCTGTTCCAACCCAAGCCCTCCAGCCAGCCTTGGCCTAGCTGGGCATGCTGCCCCCTCCAGTCTTCTTGGTCAATGAAACATTTCCTCTTCAACCTCAGCCCGACATTTTTCCTTTACAAGAGATTTTCAGATGGGATTGCTGGAACAGCACCTCCCCTAGGTACTAATGCTGCCTCAGTCCTTCCCCAACCTCACCCCCACCCCCACCCCGCAACATTGGGCCTTCAAGTAGAAGCCACTTGCACAGTGTCTGGCCCAGTTCAGTACATCCCCCCAAAATGTTACTTGGGAGATGTACTGAACTGGGCCAGACACTGTGGGTTTTATATATAGAACCCTACTGAGTGGTGATTTTTAGCCTTCTGTCTGTGAGGGACCCCTTGGAAATCTACTAGAATGTGTGAATTCTCTTCTGACCAGCACAGACTTGGAGATAGTGGGCTCCCATTTCAGGAGGCTCCTGGGAAGGAATCCTGTCAATGACAGATTTTGAGAGTTGGAGAATTTGGGAACCTCCAGATTCTAGACAGGCCAGTGTTAAGGAGGTGGAACTCTGCGTCATAATCTCCTGGATGCTTGTTGAAAAGTGCAGATTCCTTGGTCTCTCCCAAACCTGCTTCTCTGCCACATGAGTTCTTAGTGAACTCCAAACCAACTTTCTCACTCAATGATCCAGCCCTTACCCAAACCTGCCTAGGCTCCTTGGATGGCCCTGAGCTCCTTGCAATTTGCATAGCATCCCACCTCACCCCCAATTTCAAATCCTTTGTATCCAGGCAGTGTTACCTAAAGGAAGCTATACTTACAATTTATTTTGATTTTTAGTAAGATGCTTTCCTCAATTAAGTACACAAAGCTTTCCTCAATTAAGTACAACGAACACTACAAAATCCCTTTCTGGTCTACCTTCTGGCTTTTTATAGAAAGGAAATAAGATAGAAACCTAAACAGAAAGAGACAGGTGCCCAGGCAAAGTGAGAGAGGAAACAGATGCCTTCCCACCCACACATACAGAAAAAGGCACACACAAACACAAATACCCCAAGAGAGACAGACTTCCCTGGTGAGATGCCCTCTCCTTAGGCCATTCAGGATTCGAGTAGCAGCCTGTTTGGAGTGGGCCCACATGGGGCCTTCACTTAACGCCTCCTGGCCTGCCAAGTGGAAAGAACATAAAGGCCAGGCTCGGCGTGGCCCAGGGTTTGGCTCAGGGGTTGCATCCTGGCCTGGCTAGGGTGGATCCAGATCTTGGTGGCGTATATTCAGTTGAACCCAGTATCTGGCCCAGTTCAGTACATCCCCCAAAATGTGGGGGACAGGTTCCTGGGAGGTGCACACAGGTCAGCTTCTGTTCACCTGAATTATTGCAATCCAACAGGTGGGGCCTTACCTGCCAGTCTGATCCCTTGGAGTAGCTCTGAGCCATGATGAGTCATCCGTGTGTGTCTCTTTTGGGTAAGTCTGGGTGTTAATGTGTACTGTCTGCTGGCCTTGATGCTGGGCATGCTACCAGAAGACCCTGTGGGTAGGGTTACAACATGGTGAGGAGTATCATTTTGGTTCCAGAAGCACTTATATTTTCATCTATGCCAGTGTTGCTGAACTGTCTGCCCAAAGACAGTTCTCTCAATCCACGCACTACAGCTCACAGGAGAAAAGACATTCAGGAAAGAGAATTTGGAATCTAGTCTCTCTTTTGGATGGGAGAGGCAGCTGAAGGCATCCACCTGAACTGGATCTCTTGTGAGTGGAAACCTTTGAAAACACCCTTTGGGGTATATCTGCTCTTGCCTGGAACTGAACTGAACACAAGCCACCGGTTGTCTTCTGGGTAAACTCAGGCTTTAGGGCCTGAGGACATTGTGCTCCAGGTCCTTATTTAGATGCTTCAGAGAGTCCAGGTGTTTCTGGCACCCCTTGGAAGCTTCTGGAACCTTCCAGATGGACTTTATTTGGGTGCCCTTGCTGCCTTTCCCCTGCCCAGGGAAGGACAGCGCACCTGTTAGAGAATGTTGCTCGACTATTTGTGTGAAAAAATCAGTTAAACGCTGGTCTTTAGGTTCAGAAGCTACCTTTAGCCAGTAGCCAAACATCCGGCAGTGGGGCAGGGGTGTCCTTAATCCAAAGGGAACCAGAAAACACCTGATTATTACTACATTTTGTGACGTGGGTTGTTTTTTTGTCTCTGTTGAATTCAACTCTTCATTTCTGTTCTTCCACATCAAAGTGAAATGATTATTTTGGGTCTCTTAGTGTTTTCTGCTTCCATGCAGTAAAAATTTAAATAAGTTGATTAAAATTTACATTGTGATCTAACCCATGTTAGCAGGAAGATTTGTTCACTCACGTGAGCTCTCGTGTTTTAAAAAGCGTGATTTTTCAAATTATCAGGCAATAGGTTGACATTGACATCATTATTTTCCATTTATTCTAGCAGATGTTTGTTAAACAGCTGCAGTATAATGGTGCTTGCCTAGGTCCAGTGTGCAATTCACAGCTGACCTTGACAGGGCCTTTGCTTTCTGGGAGTTTATAGTCTTTAGACTATCTTCAGATCCCATTGAAAGAAGGCAAGTAATACTGTTTATATTAAGGATTGGAAATGTGTTTTCCCATAGTATTTCTTCGAGTTTTCATATTTCCCAGTTGTATGTAGCTGTGCACCCTACAAGATTCGGGGCATGCTTTTATGCTGTGAGTGAAAGTGCCTTATGTTCAAGGTCAGCATTACCCTGTGTGGTCCATCGGGTGTGCATTACAATGATTTTCATGTTCCATCTGGAATTGCTTTGACCTTGATTCCCCAAGATCCACTGTCAGAAGGCAGTGGACACCTGCATTTGTCACTTTTGCAACAGCATCCAGCTTCTTTTCCTGATTAGTTCCGCCATTTTAAAATAGAACAGTTGTGCGACATGGATCCTAAATGATCCAATTGTCTCTAGGATTGATGATAATTTTATTCTGAACTGCAGTAGGGATTAATATGTTACCTTTTTTAAAATGATCTTCCTTCACTTCTCCTAAAGCTCTTTTACCTGATATACTTGATTGATTAATTATGCAGAGTTTTGTTTCCTTTTGTGGGAGCAGGGCCCACTTCTTTCCTTTCATTTTTATGAGCACCTGTTAAATGATCTCCATGTGTCCAGGGGCTCTGTCACTGTGGGTGGTGATCACACAGCCACTGAGAGCTAAAGTGCTCTCAGGCTAAGTCCCCTGAGTGAACTGTTTCAGGAAGGGCCACTCCTGTTTCTGCATAGGAAAGGATAATTAATAATTCATTTAGGAGTTGTGGTTCCAGCATTTCAACAGTTAATCATGCCAATTAAGTAAAAACACTTCAGTAGGATTTGCTCGATTAAATGGAACACTTCAAGATAATTTGCTCGATTAAACATGGTTGGCTTGGGAGGAGTGTGTGTCTGTGTGTGTGTGTGTGTGTGTGTGTGTGTGTAGGAGAGAGAGATGGAGGGGGAGAGACAGAGGAATAATGTGTCTCCTTTGCACAGTGAGGGCATGTTAACAGGATGGTTTAAAGGCAGCCCCCAAACACCCATATGTATCATTAGACCTAGATGCACTAAGCCTCACCCCCAGTCTGTCTTCTGGCTGTGGTGTGATATTATAGGTTGAATATTATTTTGCTATTCTCTGGTGTGGTTTGAAAAGTCTCAAATCTTGGGAGCTGGATATTAAGCAAGTTAACCTCTTGGATCCCTGGTTTCCTTCTCTGTGATAAGTGAGTTACGGGAAGGGAGGTGAATGGCTCCAAACGCGTGTAGTGACTGCTCTATTTACCATGCCCCTCCCCACACACATTGACTCAGTCACCCTACAATTTATCAGAGGCCCACTCAGGGCCAGGAGCTGCTGCAGACACTGGGGACTCAGAAGTAACCAAGAATGAGAAAGCCCCTGCGCTGTTGGAGCTCCGTTTCTCCCAGAGACTGTCAGTTAGAAACAAGCAATTTCATTGGATCATGGTTTAGTCAGCAAAAGTGTTCCAAGTAGACTATGATGGGGACTAGAATGCCTTCACTAAAGGCATTCTACAGAGGTGACATTAGAGTTGAGGCCTGACATGGGCCAGGCACAGTGGCTCACACCTGTCATCCCAGCACTTAGAGGTTAAGGTGAGAAGATGGCTTGAGCCAAGAAGTTCGAGACCAGCCTAGGCATCACAGTGAGACTCCATCTCTACAATTTCTGTTTTAATTTAAAAAATTAGCTGGGCATGGTGGCACGCAGCTGTAGTGTCAGCTACTTAGGAGGCTGAGGCGGGAGGGTCACTTGAGCTTGGGAGGTCGAGGCTACAGTAAAACGTGATGGCACCACTACACTCTAGCCTGGGTGACAGAGCCAGACCCTGTCTCAGAAAAATAAGAGTAGCGTTGAAGCCCAAATTCTCAGGAGCCACCCATGAGAAGCTTATGGTACTCTCAGCAGTTTCAGAGGCCTTGAAGTCCACAGCCTTGGCCTTTCTAGGATTGAATGAAGGCCAGCGTGTCTGGATATCACTGAGATGTGGCAGGGCAAGATATGGGATTGGTGGGCTGCGCCAGGGCCTTGTTGGAAGGTTAAGTTCTTAGGTCTCTGGCCTGAGGTCAACAAGAAGAGGTCTCTAACAGGTCCTCTTTCTCAGAGGATGTATCCACAATACCCCCCTCTCCAGTCCATTTGGCGGCCAAACATCAATGTCAATTAGAAGTAAATTTCTAAAAATTGAATTGTATAAGTAATTCATGACCATTTCGTTTTGTACTGGAAGCCAAAGTCAAATTAGACATCGAATGTATACTAGAGGAATCCAGCGGACCAGCCGGGCCCTGCCCAGGTGACAGTGGGACAGAGAGGGCGTGGCTGCTGAGCACCTGAGGATGAACACAAACTCACCAGGGAAGCCCCTGTGCCAGGCAGCCAGTTAAAGATGGGAATGGGGCTGCCTTGGACTCGGGCTAGATGAGGCCTTCTGCCAACACTTCCTAGGTGCTGATAGTTTGCGAGGAGGAGCCCAGAAGTCACAACCCCATGGGCCTGTCTCTAGGCTTTCTGGTCATTGCCCTTCCTGGACTGCCCACAGATTCCTGCCAGCCCTCCCCTGCACTTGCCTTGCCGTGTGGGCATCCCAGGAAATGCTGGTCTTTTGACCCAAGCAGAAGGGCTGTTCCCCATTGACTCCTTGGCCTCGGCCCTTGGCCTTTCACATGCTGAGCATCTTTCTTACCGAAAGTCTTTTAAAACCAAAATATTTTACAATTGTTGTCCTTTTCTGATACCAACAAAATTCAGCTTGGTTACTAAAACTTCTCAGGTTCCAGAAAAAGAAAGCAGATCTTTCTAGACCTAGACTCTCCCCCACTCCAACCCCATGTGGTCACATACACATTGAGATGTGTTTATTATAGCTACAAGTCTTTTCCTTTTCTCTCTTAAAATACAAATATATACTTAGCCATCTCCTCCCCTTCCTTTACCTTCTTTGGGTTTTCAAGGGAGAGTTACTATGTCTGCCTGTATCATCTGTGAGGGATTCACATTTTTGTCATCTGTAGCACATCATCCTACGTTGGCACCTGTTGGTTTATATTGGAACCCTCCAGTTTTCTTCCTGCCGAGTTCTAGGAATCTTCGGTAGTGTCTCCAGAGCTCTTAGCCACATTTGTCATTTATTCTTTCTGCCACTGTTTTTGTGACATTGGGATTTTTCAGACTCTTTCTGTTGGTTCTAGTATTATGTTTTCCATTCTCCATCCGTTTACTTTTAACCTATCTGTGTCTTTATATTTAAAGTTTCTTGTAGACAGTATGTCTTCTTTTTATTACAGCCTGAAAATCTGCCTTTTGATCAGAGTGTTTTGTCCATTTATACTTACCTTAATTATTCACGTGGTTGGGTTTAAGTTTGCCATCTTGCTATTTGTTTTCATTTGCCCCTTCCATTCTTTTTTCCCCTCTTTTTCTTTACCTTTCTTCTTTCAGATTATTGTTAGTACATATTTGATCTCTGCCGTTGGCTTATTGGCATGTATCAGAGTCTTGGAGGACTTGCCAGAACACACAATCATATGTTTTACTTCTACTGATGTTATGAACCCCATACTACCTTATTATTATTTTTGCTTTAAATGATTAATTATTTTTTAAAGATTTAAAAGTGAGGTGGGTAAAAGCGTTTTATATTTCCCCAAATATTTACATTCCTGGTGTTCTTCACGCCTTTGTGTAGATCCATCTTACCACCTACTATCATTCTCCTTCCACCTGAAAGATTTCCTTCAGTATTTCCTGTAGTACAGATCTGCCGGTGATGAATTCTCTCAGCTTTTGTCTGAAAACAAATTTTATTTTGCCTTCATTTTGAAAGGAAATTTTCCTTGAATATAGAATTCTAAGTTGACAGGTTTGTTTTTTTCTTTCAGCACTTTAAAAATGTCATGCACTGCTTTTCTGGTTTGCACTCTGATGAGAAGTTAGTAATTACTCTTTTTTCTCTCTACTTGAAGACTTTCTCTTTATCACTGGTTTTTCAGCAGTCTGATTATTATGGGTCTTTTAAAGTCTTGCTAGGGGTTGATTGAGTTTCTTGGATGTATGAGCTTACGGTTTTCATCAAATCTGGAAAACTATCCAGCCATTATTTCTTTAGCTGTGTTCTTTATCCCTCCCACCATTTCCTCACCTTCTCAGGTTCCAGTTATGTAGGCATTAGACCACTTTCTATTACCCCAGGCTATTGAGATACTGTTTGTTTTTAAAAGCTTCATTTGAGCTAATTTATATTGCTATGTCTTCAAGTTCTCTAATTTTTGTATGTGGTATCTAATCTGCTGTTAATCACATCTAGTAAAATTTTCAATTTAAATATTGTAGTTCTCACCTCCAGAAGTTCCATTTGGTTCTTTTTGTATCTTCTGTTTCTCTCACTATATTCCTGTTTTTCTTTTAATGCTTATATGTCGTTAGACTCACTGTTATCATTGTCTGTCAGTCATCACTGGTCATTTCTGTGTGTTTCTATTAACTGGTTATTCTCCTTGCCATGGGTCACATTTCTGTGCTTTTTGGCATTTCAGTACTTTCTGATTGGATGTTGGATATTATAAAGATTATATTGTTGAGTGTCTGGATTTGGGGTGATAGTTATTTGTGGATCAGTTTGATCCCCTTGAGGCCTATTTTTAAGCTTTCTTTGAGACAGATCTTGTATAGCTTTGGCTCTAGGAATAGATCAGCCCTACTACTGAGGCATGACCCCTCTGGATTCTCTACTGCGTGTCCCAGGTGATCACAGAGGACTCTCTACACTGATTGGTCAAATCTTGAATGTCTCCCTACCTTTGTGTGTCCTGAAAATTGTTCAGCTTACAGCTTCCTGGTCACTCTTTTCCTGGGCTTTTGGAGTTTCACTCTATACACGCATGGCCTAGTAGTCAGGAAAGACTCAGGGGAGGCTTATACAGATTTTTTGAAGCTCTTTTTTCTGCGTAACTAACTCCTTTCTGGAACTCTGCTCTGCAACTTCCAGCTCCCTCAGCTGCTCTGAATGCTGGCCTGTGTCTCCTCAACTTGGCGAAGCCACTGAGCTCTGTTTGGTTCTCGCCACCACCCCCCCACCACCCCCACCCCTGCCAAACACACAATCTCTATGTGGAAATTGCCTCCAGGCAGAAAGCTGGGGCAATCGTAGGGCTCCCATCATCTATTTCTCTTCTCTTGGGGATCATAATTGTGTGCTTCTTGCTGTCCAGTGTCTGAAAATTGTTTCACATATATTTTCTCCATTTTTCTACTTATTTATGGCAGGATGTAAAATACGTTCCTTGTTACTCCATCACAGCCAAAAGTGGAAGTTTCTGTCCATTCTTTTTAACATGACATCTTTAATTTTGAATAAAATTCTTTCTGGAGTAGCTGGATTTTGTGGGCCTTGAGCCAGTGTAAAACGCCTTCCTTTTTACTGAATTATGAGTTGAATTGAATTGTCATCAGAACAGGAACTGTGTAGCTGTTTCTTTGAACTCACTGAAGTGGGAGGCCTATGATGCGTGGATGTCGGTGACTTTGGAAGAAGAAGGTAATTTGTACAAATCGTTCAACTTTTATTTAACAATTTAGTGTTTGAAGATCTTTTCTTTGAGGCTTATTTTTCCAGCTGTTTTGTTGAACTTTTCATTTGGCTGAATGCATTAGAGAACTGCTGTCATGTGTACCCGTCTCGCTGTCACCAGGCTCCTTGTTTCAGTAGGCTGTGGCTTTTAAGGGCCTCACTGCTGATCTAGAAGCCCCGGTTCCTGCTCTCTTGTCTCCGGCATCCTGATCTGGTTTTTTGTTACCTCTACAAAGTTGGAAATGGTCTCTCATTCCTGGTTATCTCTTCTGATGATCTTCATGTGCCTCCTTCCTGTGCAGTGTCAGCATGGACTTCTTCTAGGCTTGTCAGTCTCCCTGCCTCTGGCTCTCTGTCTAGATCTGTCTTCTCCTGGCTATGCCTGGGCTGGCATCTGCTGTTCTTGTCTTGGCTGCCTCTAGCCTGCTTCTGTTCATTCTTTGCCAGTTTGCTTTCCCCACTGTTAAAGGTGTGTTTTCTCTGGCATCTCCATGCCCTGGCTTGTCATTGAGCCAGCACATGAGAAAAGACTCAACAAGATCAGAAACCAAGGAGAAGGAAATCACCAGTGTCATCCCAGGGGACCCAGAAACAGGGCTGTTGTCACTCATGGCTTTTTTTACTTTCTTTAGGTCCACCTACTCCCCAAGGTCTTGCCCTTCCCCAGGATGGAGCCCCAGGAAACCAGGTCCTGGCAGTCCCTCTTGAGATGCCAGAGGCCCAGGTGAGCTGTGCTTCCCTCTGCCTTGCTCAGGATTCTGTCACTGCTCCCTGAATCTGGCCTCGACCTCTGTCTTTTGCCCCAGCATGACACACAGCAGAGTATGAACCCCAGCTGCTGCCTTCCTGCCCTCCCACTGCTTCTCTCTGGAGGCTGCCAAGGATTGGATGTCCACTGGGCTTGGAGTTCCCATCATCCAGGTGGGGGAGCTGAGTTTCCATCCAGGAAAGTGATTGAACGGAGGTCCCTTGGAAAGATAGGAGAGGCCAAGGCCATGGCCCAGGGATCCTAGTTCTTCATCAGGTTCTCTTTTTAGGACTTCTTGGAGCTGTGGTTAGACCTCCATGTTAGCAACAGACACCCACTCTAGACCGTCACCTCTTGTCCCTGGCATTAATGGCACTGCCCCTGCCTCATTCTAAAATAGATGGAAAGAATGATTAGCCCTGGGAATTCTTTCAGGATCTGGTGACATTTGATGATGTGGTGTGGTACCTCACCACGAGTGGTTGAGGAGGGATCCTGAGCAGAGGGTGCTGGCATATTATGGGAATATGACCTCTGTGGGTAAGGATGCCCCAGCCCTTCCTCAAATTCACTACCTGCTTAGAGTGGGACAGGGGGCACATGGCTACCCCCACAGAAGCTCAACATCTCCCTGAGTTTTGGGGAAACACAATGGGTCTGCCACACCTGATATGTCACCACCTCCTCAGGGCGGCAATGGAAAGAACCCCTCTCAGTCTTTCATTGGGAGAGAAATTAAAACACTGCCACTGTAATGTAGAATACTCTTTTCTTTTTAATGCACAAATTATGCAAATTGCATGGCCATTTGATTTGAGTTTACTTGGGAGAAAGGTTGATGTGATCAAGGTCTTGTTCATCCATTAGGGGTCTGCATGTATGCAGTGGGGAGGAGTTTTTAGGAGAGACTGTTGGGAGTCAGATTTGGGAGTTGTGGACGTCCTCGTGTCGGGGAAGAGCATGAAGTTCAATGTGTGAGCACTGAGGGGGTGGACAGGGAGAAAGCAGGGTCAGGATCACCTCTTCCGTGTGGCCACTTGATGATACTCCACAGGAGCCTCCCCCAAGTGGGCCCAGAGCCTGCCTTCCTCAAGCTCCTGGAAGGAGCCTGCCTTTGGGAAATACTTTTGAACTGAATGAATGACTTGCCTAAGGTTACGGCCAGCCTGGTCTTTGAAGAGTGAAGGGGGTTCCCCTTCAAAGGCCTTGCTCATGCTCCTCCACTATTCTCATGTCACCTCTGGCTGTCACCATAACCAGTCTCCTTTTCCATGAGCAGGTGTTCCTGTTTTGAACCCTGCCTTGGCCCCTCACCTGGCACAGGGACAAGTGCTGTTGGTATCAGACCCATCGCCCAGCACAGATCCAACTAAGTACTCTGGTGAGTGAAAAAGAAATGTGAGAAAATCCGGGGAGGCCCAACTGAATTGCAGTGGGGTTTGGGTTAGGGTTGGGGGGCCCAGCTGAGCTCTTGGAGTTGAGGTTAAGATTCGGAGGATCAGCTGGCCTCTCAGAGATTTGGAGTTAGAGTTGAGGGGCACAGCTGAGCTCTTGGGGTTGAAGTTATGGTTGGGGGGCCCAGATGAGCTTTTGAGATTGAAGTTAGGGTTTGGGGGCCCTGCTGAGCTCTTGGGCTTGAGGTTAGAGTTAAGAGAATCAGCTTAGCTCTCAGGGGTTTGGGTTGGGGTTGGGGAGCCCAGCTGAGCTCTTGGGGTTGAGGTTAGGGTTGACGGGATCAGCTGCGCTCCTGGGGGGTTCGGGTTAGGGTTGGTGAGGCAATCTGAGCTCCTGCGTTTGAGGTTAGGAGTAGGGAGCCCAGCTGAACTTTTGAGGTTGAGGTTAGGCATGGACAGGCCCATTTGAGCCCCTAGGGTTGAGGTTACGGTTGAGAGGATCAGCTGGGCTCTCTGGGCATTCGGGTTAAAGTTAGGATCCTAGCTGAGCTCCTGGGGTTGAGGTTAGGTTTGGGAGGTCTCAGCTTGGCGTTTGGGGTTCTAGTTAGGGTTTGGGGCCAAGCTGAGCTCTTGACAGTGAGGTTAGGGTTGAGAGGATCAGCAGAGCCCTTTGGACATTCAGGTTATGTTTGGGAATTCCAGCTGAACTCTGGGGGCTGAGGTTAGGTTTGGGGGCTAGCTGAGCTCTTGGGGTATAGGTTAGGTTTGAGAGGATTAACTGGACTCTTGGGGTGTTTTGGTTAGGGTTCGGGGAAGTGTGATCACTGTGATAGTATCCAGAATGAGGCCCCTCTGTCCCTGGCTTCTGCAGTCCTTGCTTCTGGTGACTTCCAGGCCCTGGCCCTGTGCTCAGTGGCTGTCTCGGAAAGTAAAGGATTATTGACAAAGGGAAGGCCCTTCCCTCCTTCCTCCTCTCGTGCTGCAGTGCCATGTGTTTTCCTTTCAGAAAGCACCTCCACTACCCGACACCAGATGATGGGGGAAGACACCCAGCCACAGGAGATGGCATCCACAAGTTCCCCAAGGGCCAGTGACCCCAGTCCTGAAGTCAAACAGCATGGAGACTCTGACAGGAAGAGAGGGAGCCCACAGAATCTGCCCATAGAACATCCTTTTGCTTGTAAAGAGTGTGGGGACACCTTCCGGCTTAAAGTCCTGCTTGTCCAGCACCAGAGAGTCCACAGTGAGGAGAAGGGCTGGGAATGCGGTGACTGCGGTAAGGTCTTTAGGGGGGTGGTGGAGTTCAATGAGCACAGAAAGAGCCACGTAGCTGTGGAGCCCCGGCCCGGCCCCAGTAGGGCCCTGGAGAATGCCACGGAGAAGAGGGAGCAGATGGAGAGAGAGGCCAAGCCCTTCGAGTGTGAGGAGTGCGGGAAGCGGTTTAAGAAGAACGCAGGCCTCAGTCAGCATCTGAGGGTCCACAGCAGAGACAAGCCCTTTGATTGTGAGGAGTGCGGGCGGTCCTTCAAAGTCAACACCCACTTCTTCCAACATCAGAAACTTCACACTTCGGAAAAGCCTTTTGCCTGCAAGGCGTGCAGCAGGGATTTCCTGGATCGCCAGGAGCTTCTCAAGCACCAGCGCATACACACCGGCCACCTGCCCTTCGACTGCGACGACTGCGGCAAGTCCTTCCGAGGGGTCAACGGGCTGGCCGAGCACCAGCGCATTCACAGTGGGGCCAAGCCGTACGGGTGTCCCCACTGCGGCAAGCTCTTCCGAAGGAGCTCGGAGCTCACCAAGCACCGGCGGATCCACACCGGCGAGAAGCCCTACGCCTGCGGCCAGTGTGGCAAGGCCTTCCGCCAGAGCTCCAGCCTTCTGGAGCACGCGCGCATCCACAGCGGCGAGCGGCCCTATGCGTGCGGCGACTGCGGCAAGGCCTTCCGCGGGCCCTCCGACCTCATCAAGCACCGGCGCATACACAGCGGACTGAAACCCTACGAGTGCGACAAGTGCGGCAAAGCCTTCCGCAGGAGCTCCGGCCTCAGTCGCCACCGGCGGATCCACAGCGGGGCACGACGCTGCGAATGCAGTCAGTGTGGCCGCGTCTTCAAGAGGCGCTCGGCGCTGCAGAAGCATCAGCCGACGCACCACGAGTAGAAACACCCTGCGGAACAGGGACTGGGTCCCCAGAGGTGGATGGCAGAGTCAGAGGAGATGAACAGTTTTGTAGCGCTTATATATTTTGTCTTCCGAAAGGTTGAAACCGATTTACACTGCCACCAGCAATTTATAAGTGTACATTACGCCCATCGAGAGTAACTTAGCTTGGCTAGTTTAACTGGTAGGAAGTACCATCAAGGTATTTCAGTCTACATGCCTTGAAACCAAGAATGAGAAAGGACAAATCTGAATGTGGGGTTGGGGCTTAGAGGTCATCGACTCCAACCAAGCTCCCCCTGACCCAGAGAAACACACAAAGCTGTTCCACGATGGCGTCCTTATAATGTGATCCCAGCTTCCTGAAGACAAGTTGCCCTCACGTTTTTTTTGCCTACTTGAATTTATAAATTTTGGGGGATGTAAACAGAGCACTCAAATGTCTTAAAATATTTAATTTATTAATTTAGTTATACATACATATCGTAAATCACATATATAAAATAATATATTAATTTAGAAAATGCCCCGTTTTGCCACCCTCCCTTTCACGAAATCATTTTACTCTGACTCCTCACTGTCTTCACTAGCATGGGATCCCTGTTTGAGTCATCAGACAGTTTCAAAACATCCCGTCGCTTCCATCCGAGCTCTGTGCAATAGCTCAGTGACAGTCCCTAAGTGAGGTTCTCATTAGAAATTTTCTCCCAAGTCATAAGACCATATTCACAGAACATTAGGACGATTTATCTTGTCGTTTTTCATCTGTGCTGTGACTCTGAAACATAACCACTTAAGGTGGTGCTTTTTCAGACAACCTTTTCAAGCATCCAAAATGTCATTGTGAGGCCAAACACCTGGTAATAGTTACTGACTCTGGGTTAAATGTCTGTGTCTTTTTTTCTTAAACAATTTCAATTTGGTGTCCCCTATAAATATCCAAAAGTAGCATCGACTGGGGTTGTTTTGAACTAATGGGTCTTGTCCTCAAGCAGCACTATTTTGTTCAAAATAAAATAGTTGAGAGCATGGCCCTAAGAAGAGATACATCTCAAAGACCCAAGTGCAGGGTGACACCTGCTTTTGGAAACAAGAGCCTTTCCTGGTATCAGGCCTAGATGGTACTTCTCCAGCCTTCTGTTTCTAGCTCTGTAAAACGGGGGTGATCACAGCACATAGCTCCGAAGGTTATCACAACGACTGGGACTGCCATCGTGCCTGCAGAGTGCCAAGACCACCAGACTGGCACGGAGGTACACACTCAGTGAAGGCCATCTGCTGTCATTGTCAGTTATTGCTGTCATTCTGTGGCTCGTCAGTTCCAGAACTGAGGATAGACCTCAGGCCTCCTGACCACCAATCTCATCTTTTTTCTCTTAGGCAATGACTTAAACACTGTTTCTGGTTTTTTTGCATGCAAATTGTTCATTCATCTCCTTTGACTAGTTATCAAGTTACCTTTGGATATATTAACTTTACATAGCAGTTCTTTCTGTGTTGATGGTAATGTTCTCTTTTCCAGTTTTATTGCTTTGCTCTTTGTAGCAGTTTTATTACATTTTTATCGTGAAAGCTTTTAAGTTTCACATATCCAAGCTTTTAATTTCTACGTTTCATTGCTTCTGTAGCTAGATATGATGACATTTTTTCTAGAATTTTAATTACAAACAAAAAGCTGAAACTCCTGCCCATCGGAAGGTGAGTACACCAGGTGGGCAGGCTGGATGGAAATGGGCCAGAGAAGCAGGCTCTTTCCTCACCCTAGATGTAGACTCCATGTCTGTCGGTGGGCACCACTTGACTATCCAACCTAGCCACTGTGGCACGCTGGAGATGCTCCCATCACAGACTCGCCAGAACTCCGTGACTGTTCATCAATGTAGATCCTGCCAGCAACAGCTGGGCTTGGCCTCACCTAGATCAATGGGGTGATCCAAAAGCAGCCCAGCCGTCCTTGGAGTTCCTGGGAGCCTTGGCAGTGCTCAGAGTGGACTCAGTGACTGAGCAGCAGATCCACCCAAGACATATCTCCTTGGACACAAGAAGACTTGCCTGGACCACCTCCTCCTTTCAGCCAGTGACTCTAGAACTAGAGAGAGATTGGTTCATAGGCTTCTGCTTTGGGCAGCTAGGGGAAAATTCACCCACGTGTTCTGGTGTCACTTCCTGCAGCCACGCCTAAGCTAGGGCAACAGAGCAGAGGCTCCGAGCAGAACCCTGCCCCTCCGATGGCCTGCACTTCATGCTGATAGAAACTGGCAGCACTGGCCTGAGCTATGACTTACAATAGCCATGCCCAGGAGGAGCACTAAAGCAGAGGTTTGGAGGACAGTGGTATTCTTCTGACAGCCTATGTGGCACTGAAGTAGAAGCTGGTCCTCCTGGGGCTCAACTGCCATTTCCAGTGGCCTCCCCCAAGAGGAACAGCAGCAAGGGCTGGCAAGGAGCCTGCCCCTCCAATGGCCCACAGTAGCCACAGATAAAAGCCAGCCACACCAGGGCTGTGGTGTGACTTCCCAGCGGCTGTGGCTGGGGACAGGGACACTAGGAGGGCCTGGCAAAGAAGTGTGCCCTTCTTGTAGGCCCACCAAGGCAGAGGCAGAGCTTCCTAGCAGACACAACTTGGAGGGGCCTCTCAGGCCCCCATCCTGGGAAGCAAGGTCCTACAATGACCCCTGTGACCTTGGCCAGAAGGTCCTCTCACATGGACCCAAGCCACCACAGTGGCACTACGCAGCATCTCCACCCTGACCCCCAGGTTGGAGAGGAGCCAAAAGCATCTGTTACATAGTGATTCCTTTTGCCCTGTGGGCCTCAGTTCCTGCAGTAGTTGTGAATCTGTGACTGAAATCACTACTTTCTTCTCGGATCCGTTTTGTCTTTTCAAGCTGTTAGGATGTGTTTTTACAGCTGTCATTTGATAAAGGTTAACCTCTACCAGGGGCAAGTCTGACATCTTTACCTAGAAGTACTTTGCCATGTCTTGCCTGTTCATTCATCATTTGCTGGGTTTTATGAAAGATCCCATTGAAGTCTAAATGCAGCATTAACTCAGAAGATAGCATAAAGTCGTCACTGCTCTCAGCTGGGACGTGGCGTCTTGGCATCCCTTCCTGCCCTCGTTGACTCTTTCCCACCTTCGGTTCTATAATTTTCTCTCAAACAAATCCTCTTTTACAATTAACACTAAAGATCTCGTCTTTGCCGTCAAGGTTGACAGAACAGCTGTTCATGGTGTTTGCGGTGAAATCCATGTTCTCTTTCAACACAGTCTGTGGCTTTAACGTGTGTCCTGTAATTTGCCGAGTTCATTTTTCGCCTCTGGTAACTTGGGGCTGGATTTCTTTGGACTCTCTAGGTGTACTACTATGTCAGATGTAAAATGTCACCCAGCTTCCTGTCGCATATCCTCGTCTGTGCATTCATGCATCTACCTCATTCCAGTTTTCTTTCTAATCCCGTGTATTCCCATTGTGAGGGAATTTGTTCTTTTCCCAATCCTTTTGTAGTTCATACACGTGACAATGGGGTTTCCACACACGTGTGAGATGTGCTTCCTTCAAACCTCATTACTATGTTGGCAGATTACTTGTCTGACATGGAAAAAGAAAAAAGAAATACATTCTTTTCCTACCATTTGAAAAAAGAAACCCTCCATGGCTTTTATTAGAATTTTGAATACTTGTGAAAATTTTCAAAAGAAAGTAATCGCTTACCATTTTTGCTGCTTATTACGATGAGCTATGTCCATTAGCTGTGTCACTCAACTCTGGCATTTCCACAATAGGCCCCACCCAATTGTCGTGGGCATCTTTCTCGCGTGGTGTTGCATTCCATGTGCTTGATTTTTTGCTAGAACTGGCGCGCCTGTCTTACCTGCAGCCCTGGGTTGTGGCCCTGTTGCATACCATATGATTTGCCACCCCCCTTCTAGGCCACATTAATTCAGCCAGAACTGAACACCTGACCTGAGGGCAGCAAGTAATCATCAGAGCGGTAGAGCTGGCAGAACTGGCAGAATACTACAGACCTCGGACACCACCAGGCCTTCCAGATCTGTGAAGTGCAAACAAGGAAACAGAGCTTCTAGGCATCAGAAGGTATGGGGAGCAGTACAGTACTCAGAGGAGTGAGGACCGTGGCGCCTGATGGGAGGGAGGCCTGGCCATGGTATGTTCTTGGGTTTCTGGTGGTTGCCCTCATTGGTCCACATGTATCCTCAGCACGACCCCTGACTTGAGCCTGCTCCTTTCTATTGTGTTTTGCCACTTGGCTGCTTCCTGGCCAAGTTGCCCCTGACTGCGTGAACACTGTTTAAATGTGAACTGTTTAAATGTGTGTTCTCTCTTTAAGATGGGTGAAAGTCAATGCCTTCTAGTCTCAGTGAATTTCACCTGTGCTTTTATGTCCGGCTGTTGTTCCTTTACAGAACCCACCACGTGGGGGCCATAAAATGAGTGAAGTCACAGCGCACCCTGTTCTCTTATTTTTGAAGTGTTTCATGATTTCCAGCATGTCCATCAGATGGGGGGATTGCTGACTTCTCTCTTACTAGCGTATTACATTCTGCAGTTGTCATTGCATCACTTTGGGTGTTTACTTTCAAAGGTAGAAACTGTCTCTTTACATACTGTCTCAATGTCACTTGCACATCTCTGTCACTACAGCTACATCTCACCCCAGTTTGTATTTCTGTTCGGTTGTTGGCACTTTTTTCTCATTCCCCCCCAATCTCGTTACCTTGTGTGTTTTCTGGCACTCACTATAATTAGCCTTGCACTAGAGCTGTTTGTGGACTTGGCTTCACACCCTCCTCCTCAGCCCTCCCCAACCCATTATATTGTGAGCTCTTAGAAGACAGGGGTGGCCCTTCGTGTCTGATCCCCTACCAAATCTAGCACAGTGCCTTGCATCAAGTAGATTTCAATAAATATATGTTCAATGGCATTGGACTTCCTTGACTTCTTTTGTCAAAGCTTTGTTTACCACTTCCTTTGCTCTTGGGGTCCAGATTGTGTCATGGTTATTCTAGCACTTGCTGGGCACTGGGAGGGAAGAGGGAGCACCCTGATGGAGGAGGCTGGTGTGCCTAGAACCCTGAGCTCTCCCTTGACAGAAGGGGTCTTTCACTCAGCCTCTCCTTACCACAGCTAGGGTTCCCCAAGTCAGAATTCCAGGTGGGAGCAGAAAACAAGATCCACAGCTCCTCCCTCAAGGTCTGGGAATGGGATAACATGACCTTGGGATTTGAGAATCATCCCACTTCTAGGCTGCATAGGGGTAGGGCTGAGGGTTCAGTCCTCTTGGTGGCCTGTGGCTGGCCCTCTCCCTGGTGACCACTGCCTTAGATAAGCCAGGGGCAGGAGCAGGCCCCAATTTCCTGACCCTTCTAAATTTAGCCAGCGGCTCAGCTGTGGAGTCAGCAGCCTAACTACTGAAGGACATCCTGTCCCTTGGGCTCCAGGATGCATGTCCCAATGGGAGTCAACAGGAGGAGACAACCTGACCCCCTACACCGCGCCAGTCTCCCTGGCTTCTGGCAGGGGCCCATCCTCATCACCGCTGTTGAGTCTTCTACCCCAGGTGCAGCTCTGGGTAAGTGGAGCAATAATGCCCCACTTGAGGGTTGCTTCCTTCTTCGCTAGGCAGCCACCTCCGGGTGCGTCCACCCCCCAGCCAATGCCTGCCTGGGCCAGGCCCAACCCCCACTGCTTGCAAGTAATTTAGTTGCTGGGAAAGATTCATGATGTGCTTGTTACTGAGAATTCCACCTGTTTGTTTTTCTTAAAATGTGTGTAAGCTGCTCTAGCAAGCCTCAGTTGGACATGAGTCCATTTGGACAGCTGACACTGCACCCAAGGTGGGAGGGGACAG